AGGGCTCAATGTCCGACTCAACGTCATTCGCGTTTGTAGTCCAACGGTTAGGATAATTGCCTTCCAAGCAATAGACCCGGGTTCGACTCCCGGCAAACGCATGCTTCTCATATTTTGTACTTTCCTGTTCCTCTGGAATGTTTGTAGTTGGGATTCATTCTCTTTCAGATGATTCTGAAGATACCCTGGATTTCCGCTCAAGGTATTAGTATTAATGTTTACATTATATGAGCTCTGAATCTGACATCTCTATTCTGGCTTGTGAAGATAATGAAGCATGTACAAAGAAGCCGACTTCAGTAAAAATACATAGAGAATAACTAAGTAGATCAACACCAGTGGCTATTGTCACCATCTTGCTTCTTTCAAACATTTTCACTAAAAGAATCATGACAATAACACGTCCCAATTTAGTCTTTAGTTCACCCAATGAACTTATTTTCATCCATTTTGGCCTCTCCTGCAAACAAAACACAATCATTTAATCAGTTTAGCACTTGAGAAGTAGACTATAGGAATTAACAACCAACAGAAAAAAAAGGACAAATGAATGGGAAGTGCAAAAAATTTGATAAGAATTCTTTTGAAGTTATCCATTGAACAAACATGTCCTCCAGAATGAGATAAGTATGGTTGAAACTGGAATTTTCAGATGGATACGGTCGTGCACGAAACTGTGAAGCATGAAATGAAGTTATTTGTGTGATGAGAAGGTGAAGTTACATTACTGGAGCACAGTTAGCTGACTTTAATAAGGCAGTATACTGATTGGGGTTTCCTTAATATTGAAGGCTGTTACCTTCAAAGCAAACATTCCAAACAAGGATGAGTCTTTGACGGCATGATCAACATCAGCAGGCACATTTGGGTTCACTTTACTGATGAATAGTCGATACATACCCATGCCAAATATTAACAAGACTGTCCCAGCTAGATAAACATCTGCCAGACTACATTACAATATCAGTTCATTTGGCACTGGGAAGCCTATGAAGTGAATTTAGTAGCCAAAAATGTGGAAAAATGACTCGATGCAAACTAAGTTCATGCTAGAGAAAAACTGAAAAAATTGCAGGATGATGCAAGTCAGCACGTTAATCATCACAGCTTTCACAAATGTAAGATCACTTGCCAATTCCTCATTCTAAGATGATTCCAAATATAATGACCTAGAGTTAAAAGTTTTCTATAAATAAACTGAATGGTGGATTGGTTTTGAACCCGCAGTCCACTATACAATAGAAACAATATCAGGATTACTATCTGTCTATATGGAATTTCTTTTTCTTTTTCTAATTGTTATTTCCCTTACTATTTTCATATCCATCATCTTAAACTTCAGCTTCCAAGTCCATAAGACTATAAGCTAAAATGGAGGTACTATGAATAGGAAAGAAGTCTCAGAGAAAGAGAGTGCAACGAGGAATTCAAAATCAAAGCATTCTGATAGATGGCAAAGGAAGGCCACGATGAGAGAGTTGTAATTAATGGCTTATATCGTTAATGAAAGAGCTTATACCTAGGTCTAGGATAGAAAGGGTTGAAGAATATTGCCATTCTTTCTTTTCTAATGCCCTTGTCATGGGTTTAACTCTAGTGATAGCACATATAAGAGAGCTCTTACGGGAACCATTTGGCCCTATGACAAGATTTAATCGTGATTGAAGGTCCTCCAATTATGAAGCTCAATCGCAGTGATGTTTCCAGGCAGATTGTCGTCTTCGGCCCTGAAAGAAAAAGGAAAAAACAAAGTCAAAAACCCATTCGGCCTATTACATGATTGCACGAAATGTGATCATGAGGAATGTATAAATGCAACAAATATCCCAAAGCCCCTTTCTTTCTCGCAATTTCTCTTCCTTTCCAACCCACATTTTCGCAGGAAACAAACAGAGAAAAAACAAAAAGTGATAAATGAAAACGTTGTGTATCTTCTCTCATCCCCAAGAAACCAAAATTCAAAATTCAAGTCTTGATTTTTCTTTTAATTCCGACCATTTTTTCCCCCACATTTTCCACGCGCTTTCTCGGCAACCAATCGTGGCATTGAACATCACCCAAAAGGAAAGATCAAAGGAAAAACTTTAAAAAGAAAAAACCTAATTTTATTCTGTTATTTAAAAAATCAAAGGATAAACGTAAAAATTCATTAAGTAATGAATTATATTAAAACTAAATAAAAAGAGACCAGGGAGAAGAGAAATCCTACTATTAGTGTAAGTAGGAGTTTCTACATGCTCTACCTTTATATTGGCTTAAGTCTAAAGTAACACAAAGATTATCTAAACACGGATTATGGCTTCCAACATTCCACTTCACTTGCCGCAGTGGTCCGACAAGACTGCCGTTCTAGCCAATGGCAATGGAGTTTCCGATCAGCTTATAGCCGACGCTGGCCATTCAGAGAAAAAGCCTCCACAATCAGATAAGAAAAGCCCCAAGCTTGTTATAAAGATTCATATCAAGAATAGTAATAATACAACGGATGATCCTGCTACTAACTCCCATGCAAATGCAGCGACGAATCGTGGCTCGGACAAAGGAAGTGATCAATCCTCCACGGCTTCCAAAGCATCTTCTTTGAATGTGTTGATGATCGAAAGTAAACCGACTCAGACAATGACTACCAATAATCAGGTTCTTGTTAGAGATCAGTCGAGGAAAGTAGTCGGAGCTCCTGCAAGGAAGAAGGAAAAGAAGCCACCTTTCTCTGTTACGCTGTCCAGAAAAGAGATTGAAGAGGACCTTTTAGTTATCTCAAACTTGAGAAACAAGAAGCTGAAGAGAAACCCTAAGAAGAGATCCAGGGATGTTCAGCGACAACTTGATCGTTTGTTTCCAGGTTTGATGTAAGGCTGCAGTATCCAGGGTTCGTGATAGCCATAGCCAATATGGAAACAGGAAAGTAAAGGATAGGAACTTGTAGTTTTAGTGGGTTTTAATTTCTATGTTTATATTTCCTGTAAAGTTTCTTATAGCTTCAAATCAAACTTGTAGTTGTTGGAGAAGTCGGAGCACAGCTCTTCTATTGTTATTTGCTTGTTTTTATTATTATTATTATTATTGTTCTTTTTCTGTTTGAGTTTCGTTGTTGTTTTTGTGAACTTTTGGATTTTCCTTCTTTTTCAGAATTGTTCAATATAGAAAGTTGTTAAATTCAATTTTGTCTTCTTTTTATCACAATCAAAGTGATCCCTTGTTCTGGTCACTCTTCGTTTGGTGGCTCAACAATATGATCTCTTTAAAGGGTCTAACCGATTAGGAACTATATATGTTTAAAAAGAGTATGTTTTGTTTGTGCAGTGGAAGTGATTACTGTTTAGGGAAGTTTTTGAGCTGTGCTGCAAATTGGTTTATTGGTGCAGCTAAGCTTTGACAAAAAACTACAGGTATTCAAAGATCCAAAGCTTGAATCTTAATGTCATCCAAAGCCTTTGACTTTTTTCAAGACTAGGGGGACATTGAACCCTCTGGGGCGATGTTCTTAATGCCGTTAATGTTTAGGGGTGGTGCAGGGAAGTAGGAGGTAGTGGGTTCTTTCCAATGTCACAGAAATTGGATGAGAAGTCACTAAGCTTCAGGAGGTGGACTGCAAAGGGACAGGTTTCTGGTCAGTCAATGCTTGAGGGTCTCCTCAAGAGCTTGTTTTCATTTTTGGCTCTTATGGTCTTCATTTCTGCTGAATGGTAAGATGGTTTGGCTAAGAGCTGGGCTTAATGGCAGCTTTTTCTGCTGAGTATGAGCTTTAAAGAGGTGTCAGCTGCGTTGTTTTTTGGTGGTCTATTAAAAGTAGGGGAGAGGGATTCGTTTTGAGACAACGCTGGATGTGTAATTTGTGCGGCTTGCAAAATCTGAATTTTGCCTTTTGTGTATATTTTTGTTCGCATGATGGTTGTCTCCAAGAGTTTAGGCCAGTTTCTTATATTTTGAAGAGTCTCTGGGGCAAACCAGGTATGTTAGGTCTCTGCTAATGTCTATTTAAGCAGATTGATGTGTAAATGTTCTATTTCTTCTGACGCTCAGGTTAGGTCGATGCTAACAATAGTCTTAGACCAAAAGATTTGAGACTATGCATGGCACACTAGCACTGATGCTAATAAATCTGCCTTAAATTAAAGAAAACAATATGGTTCTCCAAATTTCTTTCCAAACAATTATGTTTTGGTTGATAGCTAGCTTCGCTCTTGTTCATCTGATCACTCCCCTAAACCATCAGCAATAATAAGAGAAGAGTTAGCTTGGAAGCCTAGATGTAGGATGGGTTTATGCCATATGTATCATTTGATATAATTGCATCGCTGTTCTTGTGCTACTCTCCTTGCGAGAAAGTGTATGGGTTGGATTTATGCATATGCTAATTTTTTCATCGTTCCTTCTTTTTTCTGTGGCTTCTTCTTTGCTTAGTGTTTCTTTATTTATTTACATTTTGGAAAGGCAACCATGGAAGCTCTGACCATAGGCAATCAAATCATATACAAACAAGTTTCTTTTATTGATTTTTCCCTTGTCCTTTCTTATCTTAAATGCCTATGCTTAATTTGATAATAACCTTCAACATTCAAAGTATTCCTTCAAGGAAAATAGTGGAAAAAACTTATTCATACCATAAGACCATATCTTATTTAGGCATGGGTTCAAACTTACTAATTACGTACTTTTTATTTTTAGAGATTACGTACTTCTTTAATATTTTATTCTTTTTCCAGTGCTTCCTTGTAGAGTATCTTTAAATGCGCCTGTTAACAGCATAAGCGTTTGTAGTCCAACGGTTAGGATAATTGCCTTCCAAGCAATAGACCCGGGTTCGACTCCCGGCAAACGCATCTTTTTTTACATTTTACATTTTTTTTAAATGTCCTGTTGCTGTGAGGGTCTGAAAACCGATGTTAAATTGGGATTCATTTTTTACATTTTACTTTCTTTTTTAATTTCCTGTTGCTGTGAAAGGACTTTTTAGTTCAATGGACTGAGTACAATGAAATTAAATGAATACTGCATGGTTTAGAATGTCTGAAAACCCATATTTAATTGGGATTCATTCTCATTCAGACGCTTTTCAAGGTATTAGTATTACAGTTACATTAAAATGTTTTGATCAATACCCATACATTATAATAACTCTGAACCTAACATCTCTATTCTGGCTTGTGAAGATGATGAAGGATGTATAAAGAAGCAGATGACAGGAAAATACATACAGAATAACTAAGTAGATCCATACCAGTGGCTATCGTCACCATCTTGCTTCTTTCAAACATCTTCACTAAAAGAATCATGACAATAACATGTCCCACTTTAGTCTTTAGTTCATCCAGTGAACTTATTTTCATCCATTTTGGCCTCTCCTGCAAAAAAAAAAACACTTTCATTTAATCAGTTTAGCACTCGAGAAATAGACTATAGGCATTAAGAACCAACAGGATACAAATGGAGAAATGAATGGAAAGTGCAAAAAGTTTGATAAGAATTGATCATAGTCCATAAATGATCATTATTTGAGACCATATAGTGATTATGATTATTTACTAAGTTCACATCGTTAATTTAGAAGCAAGTTAATTTGATCTTGGCCCTTGCTGGCTTAAGATCATTTTGAAGTTATCCATTGAAAAAACATGTCCTCGACCTCGAGATAAGATAAGTTTGGTTCAAACTGGAATGTTGAGATGGATATGTTCATGCAAGAAACTGTAAAGCATGAAATGAAGTTATTTGTGTGATGAGGAGGTGAAGTTGCAGTACTACAGCACGGTTAGCTGAACTTGATAAAGCAGTACTGATATGGGGTTTCCTTAATATTGAAGGCTGTTACCTTCATAGCAAACATTCCAAACAAGGATGAGCTTTTGAGGGCACGATCAACATCAGCAGGCACATTTGGATTCACGTTACCGATGAATAATCCATACAAGCCCATACCAAAAATTAACATGACTGTCCCAGCAAGATAAACATCTGCAAGATTTTACATTACAATATCAGTTCATTTGGCACTGGCAAACCTATGGAGTTAATTAACTAAGTGGCCAAAATTGTGGAAAAATGACTTGAGGCAAACTAAGTTCATGCTAGAGAAAAACTAAAAAATTGTAGGATGCTGCAAGTCAACACATTGATCATCACTGCTTTCCCAAATGTAAGAATTTGCCACCTGCTTACTCTAACATGATTCCAAATATATATTGATCTAAAGTTAAAAGTTTTCTATAAATAAACTGAATGGTGGATCGGTTTTGAACCAGTCCACTATACACTAGAAACAATATTGACCAGGGTTACAATGTCTGTATCGAATTTCTTTTTCTTTTTCTAATTGTTATTTCCCTTATTATTTTCATCTATCATCTTAAACTTCAGCTTTCAAATCCATAAAGCTATAACATGAAATAGAGGTACTGAAATTGGGAAAGAAGTCTCAGAGAAAGAGAGTGCAACAAGGAATTCAAAATCAAAGCATTCTGATAGATGGCAAAGGAAGGCCAGGATGAGAGAGTGGTAAATGTCTGATATCATTAACGAAAGAGCTTATAACTAGAATAGAAACTGTTGAAGAATATTGCCATTCTTTCTTTTCTAATGACCTTGTCCTTGGTTCAACTCTGTGACAACAAGTGGGATTTTGACCAGGGAATTTTTTGGCTCAAATCTTAACAAGCAAGCAAAAATTGATTATGAGTCAAGTGCCCTGTGCAAATCATTATGCAGACTTGTATATGATTCTCCTGGAGAAGTTACGGGGCTGCTAGCCACAGTGGTTTGCTTCATTTCCTCTCAAGTGCTTAAAAGGGAGCAACGAAACCAATTCAACTAATTTGAGACAGAGCATCAGATAAGATCAAAACAATCTTTTTCAATTAACTTTTGGAGAACTTACCAATTGCTTCAACCAATCGTAGAACCATTTTCCCTGAGTGAATCCCTTTAACACAGCTTGTCCAGTAGACTTTGTAAGCATCAACTATGTAAACGCAACCCTGGAAAAGGTCAGAAATAATCAGCTAGCATATGTAGTTAAGCAGACATGTTTTATCTTTAAAATAAGAGGAAATTCTTTGCTGCTCTTGCAATATAAATGAAAGGGGCAAGCGAATTAGAAAGTACATTTAGAAAGCATAACAGTGAACCGGCCAACGAACCTCCAACAGCCAAAATTGCCAAGAAACGGAAGTCAAAAATTGTCTGCAGAGCAAGAAGAGTTGTTAGTCTAGGGACTAGCACTAGCCTATGGTTTGAAAAAAGTTGACAGAGAAAATCAAATAGATATTGAGGGGCATAAATACAGTAGTAAGTTTTTCCCTAAAATTGAGGATGTGGAGTAACAGTTAACTTCCTTAAACTCAATGATTCTACAAATGTCGCAGCTCACTCTTAAACCAAAAGGGCAGCAGAATGAGTAAACAATAGACAAATTTCAATTAAGTAATACCTTCTCAATGTAGGACTCAGTGGAACGAACAAAACGAACCATGGGGTTACCACTAGGATTGGCTAGCGCATAGTTAAAGCTGCTAGAATCATGGGGTCTTGATGATTCAATAATGGGTTTCGGCTGTTGAGTTGTAGATGACAAAATACTTTCACTACTTGAAGGAGTTGTTGCTACTGGTGGTGGTGATGATGATGATGATGATGATGATGGTTCAGAGGAGGGGGAGCTTAAAGAAGCAAAAGAAGGGGAACAGTGATGACGGCGGTGGAAACCGGTTAAAGGGAGGCGAGAAGCGGTGGAGATCGAGAGTGGATAGCTAAAGACTGAAGCAGAAGAGAGAGCCATGAGAGAGAGAGAGAAAGAAAGGGAAAGATTTTTCCTTGGAGAAATCAGACCAGACAGATTTTTTTTTGTGTGGCTTTTCTCTTGTTGGGTGTGTGTTTGTTTCTTCAGCACTGTTCCATATTTTTCATGAGTCAGAAAGCTGGATGGCGGGTAGTGGGAGATAACGGTAAGTTGAAAAAGTTGGTTGGGACCCGCGTGAAAGTTTGAGGACTTGAGGCTTGACCACAGCCTTACATTGGTAACATCTGCTTCTCTCTTTGTACTTTTGGTGTTTTCCAATGATAGTTTCGACTTTGGACCACTTCTCTTGTATTCATACATATAGATAAAATACTTAAGTATACAAAATTTTATTGAATTCATACACTAAATGTCATAGTAGTATCATAATAATATGATAAAGCCAGGGGTCTCAAGCAATAACGTACAGGGGGGAGTCTGGTCTTCACTTAGCTATATTGTAATTACTGCAAAGAATGGGTAAGATTAGAAATAGTGTAATCATCTTTGGAAAGCTGTGATTAATTAATTCATATAAGTATTAGCATTACCTTTAACTTATTATTTGACCTTCCTTTGTGCATCGAAGAACAAGATGAGGGGATGAAGTTGTTTGCTGGAAAATCAGTCCAATGGTTGCTGCACAAGATTTTCATACAAGCTTGTATTAATGACTAGTAGTGCTATTTTAGATCATCCTCCATGCATAAAAATGTAGGTTCATCTTCATTAATTAGTAACAACTTACAAGTGCGTAAACATCTTTCATTGCTTTCAACTTTATATAATCTTGAGCAACTAATGATTTTATGCATTTTGTGCGGCAAATTCTGTGAATGAGATTAGGGTATGATTTCGATCTTCCATGCACACAGAAAAAGATTAATCTCCAATAAATGGTAATAAAAATGAGTTTTACAATTTATTAATGAAAGGAGAGGAAATTAACAGGTATTTAAGTTAATTTCTGCGGACGTTCCCATTCTTTTGACGTTCGGTTGCTATGTTTCTCAATCCTGATATGTCAATAATTTTCTCCACAAGGCCAAAGTAGGAATCAACCCAAGGTTTTCTAGTTGATATGATAAGCAGAGGAACCAGAATCCCAGCAGCAAATCCCAATCCAACACTCAAATAAAACCACTGATCAATGATTTCTTCACCACTTCCACCTTCAACAGTCCCTCCTCTGTCAAAACCATTGTTTTCACAATTAATGGTAAGTGGAGCCCCACAGAGACCCGGGTTTCCACTAAAAGATGATGCATCAAAAGTTGTCAGATGCCCCACATACGGGATGGCTCCTGAGAAATAATTGTTAGATAGATTCAAATAAGCCAAAAATGATAGTGAAGACAATCCTGATGGGATTGCACCGGAGAGATTATTACTTGAAAGGTCAAGCGATGATAATTGATGCAAATCTGAGATATTTCCCGGAATGTCACCAGTGATATGGTTTCTTGATAGGTTCAAAACAACCAAACCTGACAGTTTTGTTAATGCTTCTGGAAAATCCCCATTTAACTTATTTCCAGAGAGATCAATGCTAGTGACAAGGGAAAGAGTCTTGGTGAACTTTTGGGTTTGACCCTTTAGAATGATAATCGTGCTTTCTTCATAGTACAGCCCTTTGTACTTCCCATAGAGTAGGTATTGGATTATGTTTTGCTCTTTTGCTATTGCTTTAAGGTCACCAAGGCTTGCTGGAATGCTACCTGTCAAATTGTTTTCTGCTAGGTCCAGGATTTGCAGTGAACTCAAATTTGACAGCTTGGAGGGGATTTCACCCGAAAAAGCATTTGATCTTAAACTAAGAATTCTGAGAGCTGGAAAGCCATCTCCTATCCATAGGGGAATGTTGCCTGATAAGCGGTTATTTCCAAGATCTAATGTTTCTAAACTTGATAAACTTTTAAAAGATGGAGGGATGCTTCCTGTGAGGTTGTTGTTGTTTAGGTGCAAAGACTGAAGTTGTAGTAACTGACCTAAAGTATCAGGGATTACACCTGAGAGATAGTTGTCTCTAAGGTCTAGAACCTTTAGGTAAGAACAATTCCCAATGCTTGGAGGAATGCTTCCATCTAATTTGTTCCTTGAAAGATCAATGACTTGAAGAGAGAGCATTTCTCCTATGGTGTTTGGGATTCCTCCCGTTAATTGGTTACCTGAAAGAGAGAGAAAGATCAAGTTTGGCATGGATTCACTCATATTCTGTGGGATAGGACCGGAGAGTTGATTGTTAGAGAGATCTAGCAACTCAATCTCTACAGTTGGAACAGGAATCGGTCCTTCAAAAAGGTTCGAGCTGAAATCAACATCTGCAAAAGGAGCAACATTTAAAGGATTTGGTAGCTGACCTTGTAACTGATTGAAAGAAACATTCAACAATGATAGGTTGCCAGAAATATCCCAGAACCAGTTTGGAAGGGATCCTGAAATGCTAGCATTTGAGAAATCTAGAAACTTGACCTCCTTTTGAGATCTAAGCCAAGTTGGAAAGGAAGGACCCAAATAGCAAGACCCCATATCTAGATTGCGGACTTGGAATGGTGGGATCCAATTGGAACTGACATTAACAACGAAAGAATTGGCAGACAGATGTAATATCTTCAGCTTACTTAGCTTTGAAAAATGAGCTTCAGATATAAAACCTGTCAAATGATTTGAAGAAACATCGAAGGTAGACAAACCCGATAGTAGTCCAAAAGAATCTGGGACAGTCCCATTTAGTTCATTGCCTCCAAGACCAAGATCAGTAAGGTTTGACAGTTGGCCTAAAGAAGCAGGGATAGAACCTTCAAGCAAATTGTAGTTCAGACTGAGCTCTATTAGATTTTGAAGCTGGCCAATCCATTCTGGCAATGTGCCACCCAAATGGTTGTTGCTCAGTCTCAAATACATCAAATTAGGCAAAGGCATATTTGAAACACAATCCTGTACTCCTTCAAGGAACTGGGGCAAACTGCCAGTCAAGTTATTGCCAGACAAATCAAATGACTTTAAACTACAAAGTTTACCAATGAAGCTCGGGATCCCACCCTCAACATTGTTGTCAAACAGATCAAAATTTGTGAGCGATGTCATGTTTCCAATGGAAGCAGGGAGCTTACCATTAATTTTATTTGAAGCTAAATTGAGAACTTCTATCTTCTTCCAACTTCTCCTTAATAGTTGATAGCAACTAGCAGACAGATTAGAGTTTCCAGCAAGATTCAGATATTGCAAATTTGGTAGTTCACCAACACCAAGTGGAATTCTTCCAGCCAAACCACAATAGCTTAAATCAACATAAGTAAGGCTGCTAATATTCACTACCCAGGCAGGGAACCCTGAACTAAAGGAGTTGACACTAAGGTCTAGAACAGAAAGGGAAGTTAAGTTTACAGGGTTAAGAAATGAAATGGAACCAGAGATCTGACATCCTGAAAGGTGCAACTCATTCAGAAATGAAAGCCTACTCAACATCCCAACCCAGCCCGAACCTATCAGGGAAAGGTCAACTTCATTCATAGCAAGATGCTTTAAAGAAACAAGACCAGCCACCCATTCAAGACTATCCGAGCTTAAGCTCCCAAATTCAGAAGAAACATCAAGAAACTGCAAGCTAGAAAGATTTCCAAGACTTGCTGGAATTACACCAGTAAATCCAGCTTTTGATAGGTTCAGATATCGCATATTCTTGAATGATCCTAGGAATTCAGGAATTGAGATATCATTGAAGGTGTTTAGACTCAAATCCAAATACTGCAAGGACTTGAGCTTTAGCAAAGAAGGACTGATATCCCCACTCAAGTTCCAAAAACTATACCTGCTTGAAGATTCAGAATTTATAGGGTAAGGATTGTGAAGATCAATCATGATGACCGCTCCAGTACTATTGTTGCACCCAATTCCGTTCCACTGACAACAGTTGCTTCCTTGCCATGAGGAGAGCGTGTTTTCAGGATCATTAAGGCCACTTTTGAAGTCAAAAAGAGCCTCTAGGTCTGGTTTGGAGCAATTTGCCAAGTGGGAATCACCGGTACAAATATACTCTCCTGTTATGACACACAGAACCGCCAACACAAGGCCAAGAGCAGTAAATTTTCCCATTTGCAGTACAAGTCTCAAGCTGTGAACATAATAATTGAACCATCAGCTCTTCAATATATGGGCTCCATCCTTTTCTTGAAATGCAAGAACATAAGAATTTCTTTGAGCTTCACTGGAAAGTGGAAAGAAAACCATTTTTTTAATGCAAAGTCAAAGAGCTATATATATTTATATATATTTTACGAGCTTTGATAATGTTGTTCAAATATAAAATATTGAACAAAGGAATTTGAAACACTCAAAAGAACATTGAAAATCCAAGGTTATTGATCTTATTAAAAGGAAACAGGCAGCAACATGCTTAGCATTTAAGCTGTCAAGAGTTTGTGTTGGTTTAACAACTCGGTTTCAAAGGAGAGAAATCGAATGTCATCAGTTGCACAATCTCGGAAATTTGGGTACGACTAAAGCAAACTGTTGCTTGTCTTGTAGCGTTGACTCCAACAACCTAGCAAGCAAAATCATGTGATCATCGTTGAGTTTCTTGCATATATAGGAATAGGATCCTATGCCTAGTCCTTGACCTTTCTTTTATTGAGATAATTTATATGATCAATTCTCCTCATATAGTATATTTATAACCAAAAGGTTAACAGCCAAACCGTACTTAACAGACATATAAGAGTAAATTGTAGTTTGCCATTGATATTTACGTGTTCTGATTTGGTTTTTTCTTTTTCGAAGGTTACACCAAGGAAGGACAAAACGGTCCGTCTAGATTTTTCTTTAATCGGAATAAAATACTCTCCCTCAGTCTCACTGTCACAAAGGAACAACAGAGAGATGAGTGGAACTGGCAAGGTGGTGTGTGTAACGGGAGCATCAGGTTACATAGCTTCATGGCTGGTTAAATTTTTACTCCAACGTGGTTACACCGTCAAAGCCACTGTTCGTGACCCAAGTCG